CGTACTCTCGATCAGGTCCAAGAGCTTCTCCCTAGCTTCACGAGCATCGTCACAAGCCTCCGTGTACTTGATCCGGAGGTCGGCCAACTCCTCGCGAACGGGCCAAGTTCGCCACTTCGCCGTGGCAGTGGCAACAGCCGGCGGCTAGTTCCTCACGAAGCTGCTCCCCGTAGCTCAGGGTGTTGCTCCTCCGCCATGAGGCGATCCCAAACGCCTTGTCATGGCGTAAGGAACGCAGACTTCTCTTGGCTACGGTCCATGAGAACCCACGAAAAGGGTACAAGTTAAATGGCAAGAAAAGGAAGAAGAAGGTCGAAATGTCGATGCACTATACCGCCAACCGGAGCGATGACATCTTGCAATGAACTCATCATCACTGGTCGTGGCACGGACCATGACCCCCACCTCCACGTGGATGCTCCCCAACTCCCTCTTATCCGTGGAGTCATCGAGGTGAAGAGCATCGCCCCCGGGTCCCGACGGTCGGCCCACCAGATTCGGGGGTCCTCCCCAAGTGTGAGGGTCACCGCTGACCCGGACCAGAGAGGTCAAGATGCCTCCGCGTCTTGACCCTCAGTGCCAACACCTCTCACGATCGCAATTCCCCGAGCAGCCCCCAAATGTAGAGGGGTGGGCGACGTGGACGAGGAAGGTTGCCCCGCCATCGTGCCTGCCGAGGGTGCACCAGGCGTGGCCTCCTCCGTCCGTCTCGCCACGGGTGCCACCGTCTGCCCGGACGACAGCCCGGTTGTTTGCGCAAGGCGGGTCTTCATCCCGTTGGCGAGATCATCCCATGGGATGGGGCGACCCAGAGTCGCCGCCCCTCCTCTTCTTCTTCCTCCTCATCGCCCTCCTCCGATGAGCCTTGGTGCCGCTTCCCCGCCGCAGCTTTGCCCGCTCCTTCGCTCATCGTTTCTTCTCCTTGTCGTCCTTCTCCATCTTCCTCCGCTCAAGCTGCGGCATGGTTCGCCACCCTCATGGCCACATGCTCCGGAACGGGCAAGATAGAGGCTCGAAAGCCCAAAACCGCCAAAGATCTCTATGAAGCCCCACTCCGACCGTGTCATGGGATGTCCCGAGATCGAGAACACGGCGTTGGATTCGGTCGTCGCTTCCTTAACGCTACTGCACATTCTTGTTGTTTCTTCTCCTACCGAGGGTGCACCGTGCATGGCCTCCTCCATCCATCTCGCCATGGGTGCCACCGCCCTTTCAACGATAGCTCTCGTTGTTTTACGGTGAAGGTGGGTCCTCGTCCCCACCGGCTAGATCATCCCATGGGATGGGCGACCCATAGTCGCTGCCCACCTCCTCCTCTTCTTCTTCCTCCTCCGATGAGCCTTGGCGTCCCTTCCCCACCGCAGCCTTCACCCGCTGTTTTTTCTCCTTGTCATCCTTCTCCTTCTTCCTTCCGCTCATCTATGGCATTGTTCGCCGCCCTCATGGCCTTGCATGTTCGGAGAGGCGGACAGAGTCTGAAAGCCCAAATCCAACAAAGCAACTCGATGTAGCCCGGCTCCGCCGCATCATGGGATGTCCTGAGGATCGGGAACACGGCGTTGAACTCGTCGTCGCTTTCTTTGACGCGCTGCGCAATCTCATTGTTGCAAAATGGCCTCTGAGCGAGCACCATCCGCCGAAGTTCCACGACGGGCACCATCTCGAACAACGGGGGGCGCGCATCGCCGGGCGCCACCCTCCTCGTGTGATATGCTCCAATAAGGCCATGGCTCCTCAACGACATGAAGGCCTTGAGGATGTCACGCATCTTTTTCTCTTCTTGATGGGTGGCCTCCACGGCCACGTCGGTGGCGCCTCTCGATCAAGCGCTAAGTGAAGAAGTACGACAAGGGGGCGCTGGGTCGTTCTTCAAGTAGAACCACTACACGTGCCACACCCTTGTTGGATCTAGGATTGGGTGGCATGTACTCGACCGCTTGCTGCCCCCAGAGGTGGATGCCCGCACATCCCATCGGCACCGGATCTTTCCTACCGTCCTTCTTCTTCCTATGTAGGAGACGACGAAGAAGTACCTCCACAACTCAAAATGTGGCTCGATCCCTAGGTACCCCTCGCACATTACGATGAAGGCCACGATGTGCTGGATCCCATTGGGATTGAGGTGCTGCAACTCGACCTGGTAGTGGTGCAGTAGCCCCCAGAAGAACGGATGAGGGGATCACGAGCCCACGCTTGTGGAAGGGCGTGACGGAGATGATGTAACCATCGGGCAGCATTGGCACCTCCTCGTGGTCAAGAACCGGCCACTCCATCGCGCCGGTCCTCCCGCCAAGAAGACCGGTGCTTGACGAGGCCTCCATGCATGTGTGGGTGACGTCGAGCGGTACCATGACTCCATGGAAAGCGAAGACAGAGGAGCAAGAATTTTTGGCGATGGTAGAGAAGCAAAAGCTATGGATCTAGGCGATACTGGCGCTGGGCTAGGTGAGGCAAGCAGATCCGAACGATGGCGGCGGAAAGGCGAACAAGGCAAGATTGCGATTTGGTACGTCAAAACATGGAGGAGGAGCACGCTATTTATAAGGCGGGGTGAGATGGGAGGTGAACCGTCCGCCTAGATCGACGCAACGCCTCAAGACGCCTCATCGCCTCTCTCCGGGAATCATGCACATGCCACCTCGGCCGCTCCTCAAGGGCTAAAATCACCGCAGGTAAGTAGGGATACGGAGCTAAAAATGATCCCACGGCCCATTAAGGCATAGGAGTTCGAATGTTGGCCCACCGACGGGTTCACAACCGCTCCGAGGCACCTTTAGAGTGAGGGGTGGAACAGGATGGGCCCGCTAGTGGCGATGCACTGGCTCACGCAGCGTCGTGGGCATCCCGCCCACGCTCGAGTCTTGATAGAGCACGGTCTATGATTTTTCCTCAGTAAGGCAATGAGCCCTCAGGACCGGTCGAACGGACCCGGGAACTATATGGGCTAGCCGTAAGGAATCTGGAGTCGGTCACCAGCTGACCCATGTCGGACCCCCATGAACGGGAAGCCGGGGCCCCACTCGAACTTGCCCGTTAACAGCTCACGAGCACCATAGTTCGTCCATCGAGGAAAACATGGCATGGCTCAGCCCTCTGTTTTATCGAAAAAACGCTTAAGGAGGACGACTTTAAGATTTAGCCAACCTCGACCGGACCCTTTGCGCTGCTGGGGGGCTCGAGGGTTGGGCTTGCAAGGAGACCGAATACAGTGATCTCATAACAATGGCGGATCGGTCGGATCCTAGAGAGGAATCACAATCAAGAGAGATCCTCTCTGATCCCCCAAATCGCGCAGCTACATGCTCCTGAGGAGTCCGAACACAAGGAATCTTGACCATACCAAGACATTCCGTGGCCCGCAAAGAGAGATCAAGATCCCATAATCCTTTCATCCGAAAAAGCCTTCAAGGAGTATCCTACTTCTCGCAGCTCGGGGCTCTGTCGGGAGTATCGATGATCGTGGATACCGGAAGAAGGAAGCTAATGGCGCAAACACTAACTCCTTGGATGGTCAAGAGCGATCTTGGTCTCGCCCGGCCTTGAGGGCACGGGTCTGTCTCGCCTGACCTCAAGGATCTGAGGATCCGGTCACCCGACCCTAAGGGCGCGAGCTCCATCTCGCCTGACCCCTAGGGCTAGAGCCCGTCACGTGGAAACCCGAGGGCGCGGACTCACGCCTCGGGGGCCTGGCTCCGCCTTTGTCCGACCCCAGGGGGTGGGCTCCCTCTCCCGACAGAGGTCTCAGACCGCTTCAACCACTACGGGTCCGAAAGTATGAGTCCGGGGTCAAACTTGATGCTGGAGGAGGAGGAGCAAGCGCCTTGGCGGACCTGCGACCACGATGGGACACGTCGAGGACACACATCGCATAATAGCATCTGGCGGTGGCCATTTTGACTACCACTCTCCGCCTTTGCCTCAAAGCGGAGATGTCAACGAGCCATACCGTGGCTGTGGATGGGATGGGCGCCACGCCGTACCGGGACGATGCTCACGACTGGCGTCAATGATTAATAGGGCCGTGGACGTGGAGCCGCCCCTCATCATCATCTCTGGGGTGGCGGGACCCGCGTGAAAAGGAGATGGAAGACGTTGCAATCCCGAAAGCCTTTCTCTCCTCGTCTCTCTCTCTCTCTCACTCTCTCTTGATGTAATGTGATCTTTCTTCATCTATAAAGGGGAAGCAGGCACTCCACGGAGGGGGCAATTCTAAGACACATCTAACACGTGGGAGCGGCGGAAGGCTTAGGGGCTCAAGAAGAGACAAGAGAGCTCAACTGGACTCACTCTTTCTACCATAGACTTGTGACATTCTCCCTCTCTCACTGTTTGTAACCCCTATTATAAACCAAGTGCCGGTAATACGAGCAACAACAGACCGGACGTAGGGACGTTCCACCCAAACCAGTATAAATCATTGTGTCCTCCGAGCACAGCCATCCAGATCAGACGCGCAATCTAGAAATTTACTGCAGTGATTCGAAACACCGACACCCTTTCGTGGCGATCGCTCTCAGGTGTCTCCATCTCTTGTTCATTGACCAGCATGGCAAGGTAGCCACGTCGGGCACCAAGCCACCAACCAACACAATCGGCACCGCGTCTGTGCCATACGCCACTCAGGCACTCACTCGTGTCCTGTGTCCACGACACTACACTATTAATTCAGTGCTCTCTTCCCCGGCGCCTGCGTGCGCGCAAGGCCCTGCTTCCTGCAATGGGGGAGGAGACGCACCAGAGCGTGCAGGAGCTGGCGGCGTCGCTGGGCGCGCTACCGCCGGAGTTCGTGCGGTCTGAGCACGACCGCGGGGTCGCCGCGCCGGACGCGCCGGTGATCGACATGTCGGAGCCCGGGTTCGGCGCGCGCATGGCCGTAGCCGCCAGGGAGTGGAGCTGTTCCAGGTGGTGAACCACGGCGAACCCTCCGCGGCGGTGGCGGAGCTCCAGCGCGTTGGGCGGGCCTTCTTCGCGCTGCCGCGGAGGAGAAGGAGCGCTACGCCATGGACCCGGCGTCGGGCAAGATCGAGGGCTACGGCACCAAGCTGCAGAGGGACCTCGAGGGCAAGAAGACGTGGAACGACTTCTTCTTCTTCCACGTCGTCGCGCCGCCGGAGAAGGTGGACCACGCCGTCTGGCCCGAGAGCCTCGCCGTCGCCGGGTACAGGGAGGCGAACGAGGAGTATTGCAGCCACATGCAGCGCCTGACGCGCGAGCTGTTCGAGCACCTCTCGCTGGGGCTCGGCCTCCACGAGGGCGCCATGGCGGCGGCGTTCGGCGGCGACGGCCTGGTGTGTTCCTGCAGAAGATCAACTTCTACCCGCCGTGCCCGCAGCCGGAGCTCACGCTCGGCGTCGCGCCGCACACCGACATGAGCACGCTCACCGTCCTCGTGCCCAACGACGCAGGGCCTCCAAGTCTTCAAGGATGGTCAGTGGTACGACGCCAAGTACGTGCCGGACGCGCTCATCGTCCACATTGGCGACCAGATAGAGGCAAGCGTGCAACGACTCAGCATTTTTTTTTCTCTTCTGATGATCTTGCTCGCCCACGTCTTTGGTGTGCGGACACTCTTACTAACTGGTACGGAGTTTGTTTATGTCTCGTTGAACATGCACATGCACCAATCGCGTAGATTTTCAGCAAGGCGGTGCTGCACCGTACGACGGTGAACAAGGAGAAGATGCGGATGTCATGGCCGGTGTTCGTGGAGCTGCCGGGGGAGCTCGTCCTCGGGCCGCACCCGAATTGAAGCTGGTCACGGACGAGAGACCGGCCAAGAAGTACCAGGACTACCAGCACTGCAAGATGAACAAGCTTCCCATGTAACTCGGGCGTTATCGTGTGGACCCGTTTCTCAGTCATTCTGTGTTAGTCTGATGTATAATAAGTCACATAACCGTGGTGTTTTTCAGTCGCATGCGCACGGCCACGGAATTGGCTCGTGGGCTCGTGGCTGTCGTTTAGTTTGGGCCACCAATTGTGGGCTGGTTATCTACTCTCTTTGTGACAAAGGCCCGGCCTGGTTAGATATAATAATAATAAATTAAAAATACTGGGCATACGTGCCCGCCTGGTTTGGTTTGGGCCACCAATTGTGGGTTATCTCTACAAATATGGTTTCTGGCTCGGAACAAGAGCTGCCTCTAGAAATCGATCTACAGTGGTGGTTACGGTTCGAACCGTCTCCGTAAATCGGTTGTTTTGAAAATAAATATTCAAGCCAAAAATAACAAAAAAATAAGCCAAAAAAAATCCCAGAAGTCCTCACTAGACAGCCACACAAGCCATGTGATTTTCTCACACGCCTCGCGCGTGGTTCGAACCCGCGACCTCATAACTCACGCGTTTATCATCTAACCACTCCACCTATAAACACACTTGTGTTTATTTGGAATATTCGTTCTCCTCATTTTATCTTCATCCGATTTTGAAATGTGTATTTGGGACTCTAAAAAATTGTCAACTATAAGGTTTTATAACTTTTCGAGATCTATATCTTGATTTTGGTCGTTTGTCCATCCGATGTTGTTTGAAAATTTTAAATTCTAAATATGAGAAATTTAAACATAATTTTCCATGCATAGATGATTTTAAATGAAAAAATTACCAACTACAAAGTTGCATAACCTTTTGAGATCTACAACTTTTGTTTTGGTTGTTTCTCCATTTCTAGTCGTTTGAAGAATTCAAATTTTACTATGCAGCTCGTATTTTCAGAGATGCCTAAAATTGATTTATAGAGGCCGCTAGAAATATAGCCACCTCTATAAATTGACATGCCTCTATAAAAAGGTCTCATTGCTGAAAATCAATTTTGTAATACCTCTTTGCTTATTTTCCCCGAAGATGTCATGCACAAATTTACCTCTATTCATACTAAAAAGGCATTAAACAAAAAGTCACACGGTCCTAACATAATAAGTCATTAGTGTGCACACCTCTCTATATGATATATGATTCGCTTGATTTATGTCACATTAATCAAGAAAAGAAAATTGTTAGTTCGTTACTCATGTCATGTTCAAACAAAAGTGTTACTTATATCACATTCAAACAAAAAACATTGAAAGAGTTAAGTTCCAAAAACAAAACATACTACGTAGAGTCACGTTCCAAAAAGGTCATAAGCATGTTCCAACAAGTGTCAGAAAATCACTTTGGGATCTTATCACAAATCACATGCATGTTAGATCTTATTACAATATTTTTTTCTAATTATTTCTACTTTTTTTAAAAAAAGTATATATATATATATATTTATTTATTTATCAAGTACCTCCTAGCAAGTAATAGTTGATCACAACCATCTCGATCTACGTATAAATGGATCGCCCACCGTCGTTTAGGAGTACGGTCAAACCCCAGGTTTTTGCTCCTGCAGGCCCCACGTCCAAGCCTCATCAATCACTAGTTCTTCGGGCACGTCCATGCGCGCGGGCCACTGGCCACACGTATTTTTTGGGAAAAAAAGATATAATTAAGGGGGGCCTGTATTTCGATTTGAGAAAAATCTGAGGAGGTTTTCGAAAAAATCGCTGAGAGTGTCTTTGGAGTGCGGGTTGATTTTTGATAAAAGGAAGGGTTTTTTTGCAAAAAAGACGGAGCTCATTCGTTCTGGACTGCGGGTTGATTTGAAAATTATCTGAGGTGTTATTTGCAAAATATTCTGAGAGGGACTCTGGAGCGCGGGTTGATTTCCCAAAAACATAAGGGGTTTTTCGTAAAATAACCGCGCCTCGCCCAATCTAGGCCGTCGATGCGGCCGATCGAACGGCCGGGAACGGCCGGGCGACGTGGCGCGCCGTGTGGGCAGCCTGGCCACACGGTTTCTTGTCTTTAGATTTCGAATAAGATTGCCTGCGTCGGTTTTTCCTTTTGGTGGAAGATCCTCATCCTCTCATTCCTGTTTCCACAGGGTACAGGTGACCAAAATCATTTTGGGCAGCCTCAGCCTTGCTAACATCGTTCACAGTGGCCGAGTACCTCCTTGACTTCCCTATTGGTTTGAACTTATCAGCCGATTTATCAGAAAAAATTTATAGTATTTTTCTCTCATAACAAATCAGCCAGTCGGCTTTGATACAAGCTGAACTGGCCCTTCAGTCGCTGTCCTATCATATGATTGACACATACATGAAGTGTTAAATATAGACTAATTACAAAATTAAATACAAAGATTGAGATTAATTTATGAGACGGATTTTTTAAACCTAATTAGTCTATGATCTGACAATGTGGTGCTAAAGTGAACATGTGGTAATAAAAGATTAATTTGGCTTAATAAATTCGTCTCGCGGATTACTGATGAATTTTGTCATTTATTTTTTATTAGTATCCGAACATCACATGCGACACTCCATGTGATATCAACGAGACACTTGTTAAGCGCGTGTTCAGTTCCACCGCAAAATCCCAAAAAAGTGCTACAGTACCTGTCACATCGAATGTTTGCGACCTATGCATGAAGCATTAAATGTAGACGAAAAAAAAACTAATTGCACAGTTTGGTGGGAAATTACGAGACAAACGTTTTGAGCCTAATTAATTCATGTGGAACACTAATTGCCAAATAAAAATGAATGTGCTACGGTAACCCCAAATTCCAACTTCGTGGAAGTAAACACGCAAACACGCGCTAAACTTTACTCATGCATCAAACACCCCCGGCACCATCGCATCCGGGTCCAGATAAACATGAATGTCGTGATCGACAGTACGCGGCTACGCGCGCGGCTGCTCCACAAGCTGCTGCAGAGACAGAGAGAGAAATCAATCACACCCGGCTCACCGGCTGGCGCCGGCGGCGGCTTGGCACGCACTGTACCTAGTAGATCCAGTCCACTAGTCCAGCTACGACGTCCATAGACCATAGATGCCGATTGGTTGGTTCGATCAAGCGGCGCAAGGCAATTGGTGGCCAGGCGTACGTCTTCTCTCCTTTCAAGGAGAAGGAGGTCTCGTGCACGCAACGCCGTGGCTAGGATGAGTTGATCAGCCGACAGGTGTATGCCATGTTTCGCCTGCTGCTCTTGCTAATGGACTTGGTGCAGATACATGAACTCATGAAAAGAGTGCACTCATCACAGTGTCTCCCGATATCCTTGCGTCCTTGGACCACGCCGCGTTTCTGGCTTTCTGCCCGCGTTGCTTCCGGCCGCGCTAGCCGCTAGATGCTGGCATGGTCGTGGCATCTATCCGCCGCCCACTCTATCCCTACGCAACTAGCTACTAGTGTCACCGGTCACCGGTCGTCGTCAGTCGTCACCCGTTCCGATCCAGCCACGGGAAAAGCAAGAAACCGCCCCGGTCGATGAAGCGACGACTAGCGAACGAGCAAGAAGCCCTACTGCTACACCGTATCTTTTTTATATAATAAAAGTTAGCTTTTATTAATATTAAATTCTTAAAACATTATTACATCTAGTGATCTAGATGATACAAAGTCTTCAAATTGTACTTGTAGCCTCTGCCTAACAAAAGGCACACAACCGCAAGACTAAAGGGATACCGACACATCCTGGTGACTATCAATTCGTAGATTAGATCGCACTCATGTGTGCTTGGAAGAAAATATTCTTCCACATGCGCCAACTACTACGAGACCACTACAATCAAGTCTTCAGAAGCCACCTTCTGTATAATAGCCTAAGTACGTAACCATTGGATGACCGAATGGATAACCTGCACAGAAAGAACATGTTTTTTTTTTCATTTCAAAACTAATATCGTTTATACAAAGCCAAAGTGACCAATAAGTAGCAGTTGCTCCAAGCTGAAGTAGTGGTTTTAGTTCTTTACTAAATCCTCCTAACCAACCACAAAACAGGTGAGAAACACTGCAAGGTTCGTCCAGTAGCCACCTGAATAATCGACCAAATAAAACAAGCGAAGTGGCATTGAAAAAACAGGTGCATAATTGTCTCATCGACAAAAAGGTACATATTTTACTACCATGCCAGTTGCGCTTAGCAAGAGTCAATACAACATTACAACTCCTCTTCGTAAGTACCATAAAAAGATTTTGATTTTTAATTAGGCCTTTTGTTTCCATAAACTTTTGTTAAAATTAGGAACATTAACATTTATTATTGCTTGGTAGTGTGATTTCACTTAGAATTGTCCATTGGGCAATGAAAAATATCAGGATCCTGAGACAATTTTATGTTAGTAATACGTGGTAAAAAATTATTCCAAGCTACTGACTTAGGGCCTATAAGATCCATGCACCAAGAGAGATTTGGTGGAGAAACGCCAAGCACATCACAAACAAGTGATATGTTTAGGCCTGGCTATGTTATAAAGATGACTTGGATACTGTTCTTGCAAAGTTGTGTTTCCAAGCCATTTGTCCTTATAGAATCTCACTTGTGATTCATCCTTTACCACAAATGATCCATAGCGAAGAAAATCACGCTTGACTACACATATGAATATAGAGATTGCTTCTACGCATGGCATTTCCGATTTCCATGCCATTGCTAGCTCTTGCTTGTAGTGCAACACGCAAGGTCCTTCCAGCGCTTGAGTTCTCACCTCTAGACTCTAGTCAGTCTATGGTTGTAGCTAAGCTATATCATGTTGCGACTGCGAGACTGCACGTCGGGTTAATCAACTTCAATTGTTGCCACCATGGGACCATGATAGTGTGTAACTGTTTATTATGAGAACGAAAAGCTGAAACGTGGTTCCATTTTGGCGTGCACAATGTAAGGCGCAAGCTCGCACAAGTCTAACAAGGACTAGACCCTA